ATTTTGTGTGGCCACCATTATTTACCAGCACTGCCTTAACCCTCTTGGACATGGAGTTCACCAGAGCTTCACGGGTTACCCCTGGAGTCCTCTTCCACTCCTCTATGATGACATCATGGAGCTGGTGGATGTTAGAGACCTTGCGCTCCTCCACCTTCCGTTTGCGGATGCCCCACAGATGCTCAATAGGTCTGCAGGCATGCTTGGCCAGTTCATCACCTTTACCCTCAGCTTCTTTACCAAGGCAGTGGTCATCTTGGAGGTGCTTCAGTATGTCACAGTACATGTTGGCATTCATGGTTCCCTCAATGAACTGTAGCTCTCCAGTGCCGGAAGCACTCATGTAGCCCCAGATCATGACACTCCCACCACCATGCTGGACTGTAGGCAAGACACACTTGTCTTTGTACTCCTCACCTGGTTGTCGCCACACACGCTTAACACCACATAAACCAAATAATTTTATCTTGGTGTCATCAGACCACAGGACATAGTTCCAGTAATCCATGTCCTTAGTCTGCTTGTTTTCAGCAAACTGTTTGCGGGCTTTCTTGTGCATCATCTTTAGAAGAGACTTCCTTCTGGAATGACAGTCATGCAGACCAATTTGATGCAATGTGCAGCGAATGGTCTAAGCACTGACAGGCTGCTGACCCCCCCACCCCTTCAACCTCTTCAGCAATGCTGGAAGCACTCATACGTCTATTTCACAAAGACAACCTCTGGATATGACGCTGAGCACGTGCACTCAACTTCTTTGGTTGACCATAGCAAGGCCTGTTCTGAGTGGAACCTGTCCTGTTAAACCGCTGTATGGTCTTGACCACCATGCTGCAGCTCAGTTTCTGGGTCTTGGCAATCTTCTATTAGCTTAGGCCATCTTTATGTAGAGCAACAATTCTTTTTTTCAGATCCTCATAGAGTTCTTTGCCATGAGGTGCCATGTTGAACTTCCAGTGACCAGTATGAGAGAGTGCAGAGCGATAACACCAAATTTAACACACCCACTCCCCATTTACACCTGAGACCTTGTAATAACGAGTCACATGACACCGGGGAGGGAACATGGCTAATTGGGCCCAATTTGGACATTTTCACTTAGGGGTGTACTCACTTTTGTTGCCAGTGGTTTAGACATTAATGGCTGTGTGTTGAGTTATTTTGAGGGGACAGCAAATTTACACTGTTATACAAGCTGTACACTCACTACTTTACAGTGTAGCAAAGTGTAATTTCTTCAGTGTTGTCACATGAAAAAGATAGAATAAAATATTTACAAAAATATGAGGGGTGGACTCACTTCTGTGAGATACCGTAAATATACACATATACACACACACCACACACTGATCGTCCATAACTTTATACCCACCCATCTAATATTAAGTAGGTCCCCTTTTGCTGCTGAAACAGCCCTGACCTGTCAAGGCATGGATAGGAGAGAGAGAGAAGAGAGAGAGATACTAGAAAAAAAAAATATATCAAATTAACAAAAATTTGATTTGCTTGTATGGCCAAAGAATAATATATATTACATATAAAACATATAAAAATTCATATAAATTCAGTGCTGGGGCAAGGTTACCTGGAACCCAATGCAAAGATGCCAAACTGTGCCTCCAAAATTTTGAGTTGTCACCAAAACAGGAATACAGTGGAAATCTGAAATCTTACAAAAGGGGAAACTAATTCTGGTGACAACCAGGGATTCCCTCACTTTGTATGGATTTCCTCTCACTTCTTGTTTTGGCTACGGAACAGGAAGTGAAATCTCCCCAATGGGATAGAAACTTTATACCCACCCATCTAATATTAAGTAGGTCCCCTTTTGCTGCCGAAACAGCCCTGACCTGTCGAGGCATGGACCCCAATAGACCTCTGAAGGTATGCAACACCAAGCCGGCAGTAGCAGATCCTTTATGTGAAAGTTGCAAGGTGGGACCTCCATGGATTGGACTTGTTTTTTTCCAGCACATCTCACAGCTGCTTGATTGGACTGAGATCTGGAGAATTTGGAGGCCAAGTCAACATCTCAAACTCATTGTTCCTCAAACCATTCTTGAGCCCTTTTTCCTACTGAAAGAGGCCACATCTATCAGGGAATAACTCCCATACTGCATCCTGTTGTCATTTCTTCCCCGGCTAAACGATTCACACACAGCCATCCACATGATGTAAAAAAAAAAAAAATGTGATTCATCAGACCAGACGACCTTTTTCCATTGCTCTATGGTTCAGTTCTGATGCTCACGTGCCCATTATAGGTGCTTTTGGCTGTGAACATGGGAGAGCACAGGCACCCTGACCAGGCTGCAGCTCCGCCGCAGCCCCACATACAACACAAACTTCTGAGTAACAGGTTTACGTGCTGCCTAATATATCCCGCTGACTTTCAGATGCCATTGTAACCAGATAATCAAGGTTGTTCAATTAGCCAGTCAGTGGTCATAATGTCATGGTTCCACATATGCCTTGATATCAGCCTTCTGTAGTCCTCTGCACATCAGGACTTAGACAACAAAGGTCAGCTCAGTAATTTTAGCAAATGCTGTCAGTCTGGCCCAGGAAACATGTCTACAGGTTGGAAAAGCAGAAGGATAACCTCATCAGTGTCATGTTTTACTTTATTATCCAATTGAAGGCTTGGACCGGCCCTGAACTAGGCTGCATCAGGGGCGGACTGACCATTTGGAAACTCGGGCACTGCCCAAGGGCCCGGGGTCAGTAGGGGGGCCCCGTGAGATGCCCCTGGTACCTTTTTCATAGACTTTTTTGAGTTTGGGCAAGGACACAGGGGCCCCATGATCCCCTATTGCCCGGGGGCCCCATGAGTTGTCAGTCCGCCCCTGGGCTGCATTACATAATTGCAGTATTATCCAAGAGTTGTCCAGTCCTGGCTAGCCAAAGATGCCTGGATCCCAGAGTTAGAGCCCATCAGCAGGCAGTTTTCATACATTGACTTAGCTGTTAGCGCAGAGTTCTGCTTTAAAAACAAAGTTGAAGGAGAGAGGAGGAGGGGAGAGAGAAGACGAGAGAGAGAGAGAGAGAAGACGAGAGAGAGAGAGAGAGAGAAGGCGAGAGAGAGAGAGAGAGAGAGAGAGAGCGAGAGAGAGAGAGAGATAATGGGAGGGAGAGAGAGAGAATGGGAGGGAGAGAGAGGATGAGAGAGAGAGAGAATGAGAGAGCAAGATGGAGAAAATGAGAGAGAGAGAATGCGAGAGAGAGCATGAGAAAGAGGGGGGAGGGATAGAGAGAGAGTGGGGGGAGAAGGGGAGAGGGAAAGAGAGAAGGAGAGAGAGGGAGAAGGAGAGAGAGAGGAGAGAGAGAGAATGAGAGAGATGAGAGGGAGAGAGAATGAGAGAGAGAGGAGGGGAGAGAGAGAAGGAGAGGGAGAAGGAAAGAGAGAGAGGGGGGGAGAGAGGGGGGAGAGAGAAAGAAGGGGGAGAGAGAAATAAGAGAGAGAGAGAGAGAGAGAGAGAAAAGAGTGATACTAGAAAAAAAATACATCAAATTAACAAAAATTTGATTTGCTTGTATGGTCAAAGAAGTATACATATTACATATAAAACATATAAGAATTCATAAAAATTCAGCGCTGGGGCAAGGTTACCTGGAACCCAATGCAAAGATGCCAAACTGTGCCTCCAAAATTTTGAGTTGTCACCAAAACAGGAATACAGGGGAAATCTGAAATCTTCCAAAAAGGGAAACTAAGTCTGGTGACAACCAGGGATTCCCTCACTTTGGATGGATTTCCTCTCACTTCTTGTTTTGGCTACGGAACAGGAAGTGAAGGGAAATCTCCCCAAAGAGATAGAAATGTCAAAAAAATAGAAAAAAAAGAAAAAAAAAAAAAAAAGGGAGCTATAACTCTCCTTTCACTATCCCAAATTATGATCACAGGCACTTCCTTTGCTGGTCACAGGCACCAGGATCTTTATCCTATAATGTGATAGTATGCATAACATATTATGGCAGACTTTCCTGTCAAATGATCCCCTCCTGCGCTGTGCTGTCAATGCTCCCACTGCTCACAGGTACTTCCATCTTCTCCCAATCTTCCCTCCAGATTCATTATGTTGTTCGGTTGTTTGAGTGGCTGGGTCCCAATGACATCACTCCTGAGTATGCGCCTGGGAATCACATGATCACGGCAGATAGGGGTGCAATGAATGTACAATGAGCTGTGCATGCGTGGCTCAGTGTACATTACCATTGACAAGTTCTTCTGTTATACAAACCCTACCTGTCAGCAAATTTTTTTTTTTGTGAGTTCAATTTCGCCACAATGGTTCCGCACTGTATCCAAAACTAAATACAAGGTTTTGGCTTTCAACACACATTTATTTAAAAGGAGATAACATTTTAGAGCTAGAACACGCTAATCTTGCTTCATTAGTGATAGGTATGCTTATAAGCTGAGTTTTACACCCACACGCTAATACCTGCATTAAATGTCAGTACATTGTTTGCAGAATAATACACAAGTCTTTCCTTCATTATTCACATACCTTGCCCAGTAAGGGCTCCACTATACATACAAGTATCTAATTTTGTTCTGTGGTTATTGAATTGTGTTCAAAGAACATTACAACAAAAGACAGCGGCTGGAGGCTCAGGCGTCCCGGACATTGCAGTGCCCCAAGGCACAGTCACATCGGTTGTTTATAGAAAATTACAACGTATGGGGATTCTACGCCTTCTCTGTCAATGTGATGCACAGCTGGAAGAGGGCAGAAAAACTGATGACACTTTATTACCCCTCCATCTCCCCATCCCAGCTTCCTCCCCTGATCGCTGGGTACATTCCATAACATTCTCCGTAGGGGGCATGCAGGGGCCGGTGTTCAGACTTGCCAGCACCAGTCCCTGTGGTCATGTGGCATGCTCCCAGCTGTGGGCTTGTCCAGCCAGTCTGTATAAAAGTCACAGCAACCCTGTATCCTCATTACTAACATCAGAAGAGACAGGAGAAGCCTTTGGGACCAATCCAGGACCATGAAGGGACTCATACTCAGCTTAGCCCCCTCACCACTCTGTATGTCCTGTACGTACAGGCTGATGTCCCCCTCCAGCCGGACTTCCAAGATAACAAAGTAAGTGCTACAACTTTCCAACACATATACCCAGAGCAGCTGAAACATCTTTAAAGGGTTGCTCCACCCAAAACAGATTATTTAGATATGAATGGAGCCAGATGAAATGACTGCTCTAATGAGTTCTCAGGTCTGTCAGGGACTCCAGTGGTTAATCTCCCTGAGTTCCTGGCTCTACCCTCTAGCCCTTGACTTTCCCCTTCTGTGTCCATGCTAACACAAAAAACATACAGAGCATCCAAAAGTCCAACCAGACCCCCAAAGTTTAAAGTTAATGCTTTGCATTTAGTCTTGCTCCTCTTGTCCCTGCATGAAATCTCAATCTTCTTGTGCAGTGTAGGTTATGTTATACAAAAGGTTAACTCCATCCAAAATAAATAATTCAGTTTTTAGTGGGGAACATCTCTGATCATGAAGGTGTCACTTTCACAAAGTTGGACTTGCCAATTATGTATTCTATGCTAAAGCCATTCTAGTAGGGAAGGGTGTTATCAGCAATCAGTTTGGTAATGTTTGCAGCTGGTGGACAGTATTGGAAATCTGGCTGGGATATCTTGAGCCTTCATAAATGATTAGTTCTGGGTTGAGTTTCGACAGGGTAAGTCTCCTTTGTGTTGGCAAAAAACAAGTGGATTGGGCTGGGAGCTCCAGTGTGGGCATGCCTTTAAAATTAATATATGAAGATGGTAGGTTATTTAACCTAATAAACCAAAGTTTACCAGTTTACTGTTCTTCAGACTTTAGGGGGGCCGGATTGTGGCCAGCTGGGGTACAAAATGTCCCGAGCCCAGCATCATTGAGAATAAACATAGCCTCAGGGTTGGTGGTCAATAGAAGGAGTAGTGTCCCATCACTGGTATTGGTGGCAGGAATAGTACACCAGAATTGGTATCAGTGAAAGAAATAGTGCCTTATTGTTGGTATCAATGGGAGGAATAGTGCCTCATATTATTGGGGGGGGGGGGGGGGGGGGGGGTAGACTGTCACTCCAATAGCTAGATAAGGGCTAGAAAAGGGCTGCAGTTTGGATACCCCTGATACAAAGGATTGCAGCCCTTTTGCTAAAATTACAGACATAGAAATACAGTAGTTAATCAGTAGTTGTGTAGTACAACCCACATAAGTTCACGTTGCTGTCAAGCTCTCTCATGTTCACCTCTGCTTTACTGTTGGGAGGTGCTCTTTGGCCCACAGAGTATCTGGCAAGTCTATGACTTTGCATAGTAACCAACATTTTTACAGGATTAACTTTTTTTTCAAAAGGTAAGTAACCCACCCTACATGCCTCCACAATGACCCTGGAGCAATAAGTTGAAATAATTACAGATCTCAGATTGCAACATGTCCCACTTTATGTTTCTGTGGTCTACCAATGTCTGGGTGGTGTTTGTAGCCTCTGGGGCTCAGTGCGTGGAGATGGACAGTCTATGAACCTCCATGGGTGGCGCTGGCATGGCCCATGCATGGTGGTGCACAGATGCCTGCTGTTGAGAGTCTGTAAATGCAGTCCAAATAGAGTCTGTGGCAGCATGCAGTTCGAAAAGCTATATCCTCTAGTTCTAGAAAGTGTTCCTTGTGCTTCTATCTGTTGACAGGTTGTGTTGGTCAATCATGGGCAGAAGCAAACTGCACTTTCCATCAAGGCAATGTATGAGGCCTTCATAGAGGAGAGAATGAAGCAGATTTGCCCTCCCTCCCCTTAATGTGACTAGGACAAATAGGAAGGTGAATGCGGTATGAAGTATGAGAGGCCATATGGTCCACCTACACCTATGGATGCAGAAATTGCTGCCTACCCTTTAATAGGCTCTGTCCTTGGAATTTATGGACGGTTGGCAACTAGACATGTAGAATACACATATATAATTTATGACCCCTATTTCCCTCAGCTGTCACAGAGAGCTGAAGGAAAATCTTCCCAATGGGGTCACAAACTTGGCCTGGGAAGGCTTTAACCAAACATGGAACAAGTTCTCAAAATCAGGGATCAGATTGGTTTCTCTAGGCTGCTACCCAATATTTGCTCTACTCTTCTTTGCCCTGGTACTGGTTAGTTAGCCTGTGTCTTTTTGCTTTCTTTTGGCTGTAGATTATAGGACAGTGGTATGGCATCGGAGTGGCTTCCAACTCTGCCTGGTTCAAGGATAAGAAGCAGTTCTTGAAGATGTGCACCACTGTTATTACTCCCACTGCTGATGGGAACCTTGACGTTGTGGCCACCTATCCTAAGTAAGTGATCTATCTGTTGGTCAGGGAAGGGAGGGAATTGTGGAGATTATGCAAAAAGTAAATGTTCCCTTTAACAATAATCCCTTTGTCAGCCACAATACTTACTGGTAAAGCTATGGGAAAATAAGAAGCTTGTGATGAAAAAAAAAAAATGGGGGACATTGTTGCTGACCTACAAATTCTAGCTCCCTGCTAGCATTATATGTTTTGAATTGCTGGCCTGGAACAAGCATGCAGTAGATGCTCTGGATCAGAAAAGTTTGAAACAAATGATTCCACCAGGCAAATAGCATTTTCAGAAGGAGATCAGCAGTGGCAGTCCCTGTATTTCTGTCTTGCTGGGTTTTATTTAAAGTAGAGCTATAGGCAAATTTTTTTCTTCCATTTTGGATAAAGCAAAGGAGGATTATAACCCCTGTACGGTTTATTTTTGCCCACTTTGTCCCAATGGGGAGATTTACTTTCACTTCCTGTTCCTAAACAGGAAGTGAGAGGAAATCCCTGCAAAATAAGGAAATCTCTTGGGGACCCCCAAGTCACCAGAACTAGTGTCCCAATTGAAAGATGTTCTCTCTTTTGCTTTTCTGGGGACAACCCATAATTTGGGATTTTATTTTACTTTCAATGATAAAGGGATGATGGTTTAACACCAGATCATGTTTGGTTCTGTTTCAGGCAAGACCGATGTGAAAAGAAGAGCATGACCTACATCAAAACTGAACAGCCTGGCCGTTTCTTGTCCAAGAGCCCACGTAAGTTAATGCCACAGATGCTATTCATTCCATTAAAATGAAAATTGATACCTACTTTGTAGAAACTGGACATCTGCTTTGCTGCATGCAAACAAGATACTTAACTTCTGTTCTCTCTAAGGATACGGCAGTGATCACGTCATCTCAGTGATTGAGACCAACTACAATGAATACACCCTGATGCACACTCTGAAGACCAAGGGTAGTGAGGTCAACACCGTTGTGTCTCTGTTTGGTAAGTACTTATTCACACCTTAACCCTTTGAGGACCAAGGGACGTATTTGTCCCATGTTTTTAATTGCCTGTATCATCTGATTAAGAACTTAAAACGCTTTTTTTTTGGTTTGAGTCAAAATATTAGTTCTTATCAACAAACAACAAATGGATCTAGCTTTTTGCCAATTATTTCATGAAATGGCTTAGTTACAGCAACTGAAGTGTACGAACTTTAAAAACAAAAAAATGATTCTTTTGGTGTTCTGTAATCTAATGGTCCTCAAAGGGTTAAAGTGAACCAGTGCTTAGATCATGCAAAGCAACAGGTTCACTTAGCTGCCCATTTGCCTTCCGAAGAAAATAAAAATGCCCCGTGCAAGCTCTAGGTCAATATGCTTAGAGATTATGCAAGGCTAAGAACCCCCACCCCCTTGTGACAGCACTTGGGTTTCGGAAATTGGCTGCTCAGACACCCAATGCTGTACTGTGAAAAAGAAAAGGTAGTCACATGATCAGCAATACCCAAAAGTGCAAGTATTTTATTTCTTTTTTGGCAGGCAATTTGATGGGTGGGGAAAAAAAAAGGAGGAGAGGAGTATAAGTGAGAGGTAGAGGGCAGGCAAATAAAGGAACAGGTTATGTCAAAAATAATATTTTTTTTCTAATATTTCTTCTTAAGTTATGTTCAATACTAACAATTATAATATTAAGTTATAGATACATTTTACTCAGATAAATATTAAATACTGAAGGCTTGAATGACAGACAATCCATGACAGAAATGACAAGCCCCTTGCAAGAATGTCAGGTCTAAACTAGCTGGTTGGAAGAGCCTCCCAAAGACACACAGGCAGTGCTGGGCTACCTTATTAGAAAGCCCAGCAGTCTTTTGAAAATGAAAATCATAGATGTATCCTGAAATAAATGTTTATTTGTCCATTGAATATTGTCTTCCAGTAGTTTTCAAAACATAACATAAGTTATAATTTTACCAGCTTCAAAACAGAAAATGACAGAAAACAAATTTCATTAACCAAAAACCTGTTTTGTTTCTCTTTAAAAAGAGTTAAAGTGGCAATAAACTCCGCTACATAATTTTATTTTTTTGGGCCCCCCCCCAGGTGGGTTATGCCATAATGGTCTAGTATGCATGGCATATTAGTACATTATGGCAGACTTACCTGTCAAACTGTGCTCTCCAGGGCTGTGATCGATCCAGCAGGACTCGGGTGCTTTCATCTTCTCCCGGTCTTCCTTCCGTGTTCCGTGCCTTCAGCAGTTTGATAGGTCGGGCTGCGATGACATCACTCAAGCGCATGCACACGGGAGTCACATCGCAGTGGCACAGATCGGGGCTGTAAATATTCGCTGAGCTGTGCATGCGCTGCTCAGTGAACATGACAGCTGACAGGCAGGAGGATGCATTTATGGCAGAAGAGGCCGATAGGATCTCTCTGTCATAAATACCCTGCCTGTCAGAAAATTTGAAAAAAAAAGTTAAGTTTACTTCCACTTTAACCTTTTGTTTAAAAAAAAAGAAACAGCAATGTAGAGCTACTAAGCAAAAATAACATTTTCACTTAGGCTCTATGCACACTGTGTTCTTTATCCCTGCTTCACACCGGTGCAACTTGTCATGCGATTTCCAACTGTCAAATCGCATCCTATTTGTGCCTATGGAACCGTTCAATTCAGCGTGACTTCCACTTTGCGGATTTTGAAAAAAGTTCCTGCACTATTTTTGCCAATATCATGGGTGACTTGCATAATCATCTGTGTATGAAGTCGCACTGAAGGCAAGGCAAGCTGCACATGAAATCACACTGACCAGCGGCTTTGAAATCACGCTACTTCAACTGAAGTAATACAATTTCAAAGTCACACTCATTGTGAACCAGGGCTTAGACACCTGTTCTCCTTACAGGATAAAAGCGGTGGAATAAAAGCAGTTTAGCATGCACGTTTATGCGCATTCATGCATCCGGTGTTGATGCATTCTACTGACCAGAATATTCATTTATTCTGTCCATTAGAATGTATTACCACACAATTATGTGAAGATGCATAAAACGCATCTAGCATTAACGCATGTTTATGTTTTTTTGGTTTTTTTTTGCCGTAATGCTCCTTTGTTGTACGTGCAATTGATGATTTTGTTAATGCCTCTAAACACCTGTAAATGCCTGCGTGCATTTGGACACATAGGGGCTGAATAACTAAAACTGGAGAGAGCAGAATCTGCTGCAGCTGTGCATGGGAACCAATCATCTTCTAACTTCAGCTTGTTCAGTTAAGCTTTGACAAAAACCCTGAAAGCGGATTGGTTTCTATGCAGAGCTGCACCAGATTTTTGCACTCTCCAGTTTTAGTAAATCAACCCCATAAGCTAACACGGAGGGTCGTTTAAGAGGCAGAACAAAAAAAAAAAAACTATGTGGTGCGGAGTACCGCATGTAATTCGCACAGGAATTGCACCGCATTCCTGTGCGAATTGCATGCAAAATGTCAGTGCGGTGCACTTTGAGCCATACAATTTGTAAGGCTCAAATTGCATCGCATCCACACCAAAAAAGTTCAAGACCTTTTTTTAAATCTGCACCTGAATTGCGTTACATGGGTGTTCTCACCCATGCAAGCAATTTCTGCAATTGTATCATGTTTTGCGATCTGTTTCCAGCTGTCATTAATTTATCATTGACACCCGCACCAGAACGCAATGCGATTGCAATGCGGTGCAGAAAATGCACATAATTCGCAGCGTTTCCCGCACCGCATTGGTGTGAACCCGGGCTTAAGTTACAGTAAATGAAAAATAATTTGTACATCTCCACTATATAATAGACCGGTAATTTACTTCTCATAAATTTTTCTTACTGTGTTCTTCTGCCGCCTTGTAATGTCCTTAGGGAGCTTCCAAACCTCTCCTTTTCCCCTGTTTGTTACATTAGTTGCAGTGCATGCTCTGTGTACACTACAAATCTGATAGTCCATCTTGGAAGTGAACAAGAGAGGGTGGCTACATTCTTGCATCCAGTTGGATCGTTTCCTAAAAGGAAAATCTGATCAAAGAAAAAAAAAGGAATTTGCAGATTTGAAGGTGGCTGAGGGCAACAGAGGGCACTTTTCCGAGTTAAAAATACATATTGAACATATTGAACAGTTTTTTTCTGTGTTCTATGTCACTTTATGTGACAGGACCAAAAAGGGGAATGTGTCCATTCCATTGGGACAGGGGAGAACAGAAATTTCATTTGCAAGCTGAGGTGTACCTACAATTTTTTGTGCTCTAATCACAAAAAGGTATACTATGGAAAAATAAATGAAAATGTAATTAGAATTCCTGCAAAATCTCTAGTTTTGGATAACATGGAGAAGGTACAGATATAACAGCGCTCATTACTTGTCTATCTCCAGGACAGAAGGAGAGAGGGGAACTAAAATTTTCCAGTTGTCCCCAGCACAGGAATAGAAAAGATATCCTCCAATGAGGAGGCCTGTTCCACTGAAATGTGCCAAAGGGATGGTTTATAATTGTTGAGATTTCTGCTCGATTCCTGTTGTGTAAAGCTGGCCATAGAGAGATTGAAATTCGGCCAGTTCAGCAGAGACCGGCCAAGTTTTAATCCATCTATGACATTTCCTATTCATGAGAAGTCGATCTAATGAACAACTTCTCATAAATGGGATGGTTGAAAAATTTAACTTTGACCAGTTCAAAGAATTGGTTTAGTTTTCAGCCCACTGGCTGAACAAAAAAAAAAAAAAAGAAAAAAAAAAAAAACGGAACCACATAAGGCCAACAAAAGGTAAGGGGAAATCTTGGGCACAAAAAATTCCTAAACTCTTATCTAGAATGCTGCTTTAGAAGAAAATGTGCTACTAATGACTAAAATGTGAGGAGCCACTTAAGTAAAAGTGTTGATAAATCAGAGCCATTGTGCCATAGGGCCATTGTGCCTCTCAAATGACTTGTGTCCTTTATTGCAGGCAGAACCCCAAATCTGAGCCTTGAACTCCAAGAGAAATTCAAGCAGACTGCTAAGGAATACGGACTGACTGATGAAAACATCCTCATCCTTCCTCAAACCGGTATTGTCATCGCAACACACCTATCACATTTCAATGTCCCTGCATGTGCTAATCCTCAGTATCTGAGAAGCCAACAGCAACCAATCAGCTTTTGATTTACTGTGGTCACATCAAAGATGATTTATGATTGGCTGCCATAGTATGGGGCTCTTATGACCATATACAGCTCTTATGGCTTCATGACATAAAATACTGTAGCTTTGTTGCTTTAAGGCCTCATTCACACTAGGCGTGTTTACAGCTGCTGTTTTGGGCATCAGGTGTTTTTTTTCTACAGCCAGTAAACTCCTCTGCCTGCTAACCTATGTGTTCATGCTCACATAGGCTTTTATCAGCTTTTTTGGCAGAGGCCTTTACAGGCTGGGAAAAAAAAACCCAGAACTTAATTTGATGAGTTTTTCAGCTGTAAAAACACTCCAATGCTGCAAAACACAGCTATGCAGGGTTTTTGAGCGTCAAGTTTTTCTGGGAATATAGTTTTACTAAAGTATATAAATAAAATTTAAATTAAAAAAAAAAATAGCTGAAAAACGCTAATGAAAAAAAAAAAAAACACACAAAAAAACAAAACACGACAAAACTTGCGTTTTTAATGCGGCATGCTACAGCTAACACTACTTTTGTAATGTCCAGTATGAATGAGGCCTTACCAGCCAAATTCCTGTTACTTTTGGTGCAAAGTTAGAAAAATGACAGCTTGAATCCAAATAACTGCCAGAGGTTTGGATGGCGGAGTTGAAGCCTGGTGATGCTATTCATAGAAGAGCACAGAAAAGGTATTTTTGCTAATAAACAAACACACTAGCAGACAACTTGTGGTGTCTGTGGTTAGGCTAGACAATTAACTTTAAAAGATTATCATTGTGTATAGCCTGGGTGTCCAACCTTTTTGACTTTCCTGGGCCACATTGGAAGAAGAGGAATTGTCTTGGGCCACACATAAAATACACTTAACAAAACACATAACAAAAATGAGCTCATAAACAGAAAAAAAAATCAGACAGATCACAAGTTAACGATCACTGATATTGATAATGTACCTGTCTGAGAAATTAAACTTCATTTTTTTTTGTAATATTTTTTTAGAGGGCAACATAAAAATAGTGTGATATTTGACACGGTTTCACAAACAAACACATCAATATCTGATTTGATGAATATAGTTTCAATTCTCAGTCCTCATGCACACTGGACATTTTTAAAGCTGCTGTTTTTGGCTTTTGATGTTTTTTTTTTTACAGCCAGTAAACCCCCCAGCATGTTATCCTATGTGTCCATGCACACAAAGACTGATCAATGTTTTTTGGCTAGAAAAAAACCCCAGGAATAGTGGGTTTCTAGAGGAGTTTTATAGCTGTAAAAAATCTCTAACAATGAAAAATGCGTCAAAATGCTGATAAATCGTGGTAAATCAGCGTTTTTGGACTTTTTTTGACTAAAAAAACTATTTTTGGTAAAACAAACTCTAAAAGCGCTAAAAAACACAAACACAAAGAAAAGCAACAAAACGCCGCTAAACACTAATACAAAATTCTGAAAAACAAGTTTTTAACATGACTGTACACAGCTAACGTTACCAGCGTTATTAAAATGCCCAGAGTGCATGGAGACGTAATGGTGCTCTTCAGATAGTTTGGTTCTAATTTTGCCCTTCGTGTGCTTCATCCTTGAAAATAGTTGCTCACAAATATAGGTACTGCCGAAAACCGATGACATGACTAAGGAGTGATAGTGAAGAGTGGGATATTTTTCTTTTGCGAAGATAGAAAAACTTATAAAAGTCCAGTAAAGAGACACTCAAAATTTTCTTCGGCAAAAATGTTCATTAACCAGTTCCGAAGTACTGCTACAGGGCGGCACGAGTGTGCAAAATCACGTAAACATACTCGCTCCGCCATTCACGGCTTCGGCTGTCAATCACCCAAAGATCACCGAGTATTACTGACGGGGGAAGAAACCTGTGTATAAACACAGATCTCTCCCATCAGCTCCTGTGCACTGCTTTGTATGGCTCTGCACAGCAGAGACATACAAAGCAGTGTGCTTACAGTGGAAAGCACACACACAGCACGCAGTGAAACAGCACACAGTTAACCCTTTAATTGCCTCACATGTTAACCCCTTCCTGCCCAGTGCCATTAGTACAGTGTCAGTGCTTGATATTAGCACTGATCCCTGTATTGGTGTCACTGGGGATGTCAGTGACATCAAGTCAGTTCCCCACAGTGTCAGAATGCCCACCAAAGCTCTATTTGGGGGAAAAAGGGACACAAATTTAATTTATGTACAGCGTTGCATGACTGTGCAATTGTTAGTTAAAGTAACAGCACTGTAAATGGCCTGGTCAGGATGAGGGGGGGGGGGGGGGGGGTAAATCCTCTGTAGGGCAAGTGGTTAATGCTTTATGTAAGATCATTGTTTCCACAGTCTTCCTCATAAACCAGCACACCTATCTGGACTTGGCTAGCTTGAGCATCCCTTACAGGATTGCGGGCCGTGCGGCCCATGTTTGCTTCCTTTTTCCACTGCTATTTCCCCTCTGGATTGATCAGCCATGGATCTCATGGATGTATGAGACCATTGCACAATTGGCCCGGAACTGCATGGCAATTATGTGATGTCCACAGCCAGCTTTAAACAGCAAAAATGTCACATGACCAGACAAGATGAGTGCAATCTACACAACACTAAATCCTCTCTGTTTTCTTTCCACAGATAAGTGCATGCCCGAAGCCTAAGAGGTGAGTACATGGGCCACCTTGAAAAATAAAAGGATACCTGTAGATGTGGGAAATGTTACTAATACCCGCTTCAGCTTTACAGCTTTCACCCCCTCTCCACCTTTAGCCTGCTCACTGGACCTCAAAGCAACATAATCAACTCTGTCCATTGAGTAAGCAGATGGCACAGGAAGCTTCAAAAGGTGCCAAGAAACAATAGAATGATCTCCCTGCCTATATAATGCAGCAGAACAAGCAAAACTGTCTGCAAAGCTGCAAAACATTTGCCAGGTAGAACAGTTTATATGCATGTATTGCAACAGTGTATTAGTCTGTTTGCCTGGCATTCCAACATGTAAAATGAAGTTACAGTTATTTGGGGTGTAAGGAAGGGTCTATGGACATAGCAGCAGCCAAATGGAAATGGCCTGACAGAGTATGAAATCAGGTATTCTTAAGGACGCCAGTCTATACTTTTCAATGCATTATATTTCCAATACTTAAAAAGTGTTACTAAACCCCAGACACTGGATTCACACTATATATACTATAAAAAGTGACCACTTTGAAGATGTATCCAAAATGTCACTATATCGCGCCTGATGCAAAAAAAATAAAAAATGAATAATAAAAAATGTGAAAACTTATTGCTGCCACTGTACCTTACTTCAAAATAAATCAAAATATAGGTTTCACATCAATTTAGTGAATACAAGCGGCGCATACACTTCACAGTGTTATAATTGAAACGTTGGTCACTATATCTGGTCTCGCACAGTACACAGAACATGGAAATGCAATTATTTTAGTAAATATAAACTGATAAATACCTTTTCTCATCAGCAGTTAGAACAGTCTTGTGACTTAGCAGTGGCCAGCAGAGCACTGGTTAAAGCTTGTGGGTTGAGTTTTCATTCTCCTGTAGGAGGATGCAGAACCCCTGACCTCTGTCTGAACAGTGCTGATTGGCCCTGTGTTGATCACATGCACTCTCCCAAGAAAAAAAAAAACTCTCTAGCAATACACACCAAACTGAGCATGTGCAGCTTGTCCCTAGCCTCTGTTCTATCAGGAGATATTTGGGAGACACTGTAAGAAGGGTAGTATCAGAGAAGAGAGGATCAAACAGCATTTTTACACAATGTGGAGGATTAACCTTTAGGTTCCACAGTGAATATAACAAGCATGCTTTACTGCATATACAGACTGATTTTACTGTTGTGGGTTTACTAACACTTTAATATAATCTTCTGTACATCTGCCAACTACCTAGTACAAGGGTCTACCTGATTGATTTTTTTATGATATCCTTCATATTACTTAGGTTTAGTATCTCTAAAGAAGATTGTGCAGATATTGTAAGCTTTATGGCTAGAGTTAGATATTTTTATTTTAAGAAATATTTTTTTTTTTATTGAAGTGGAGTCCCAGCAATTTCTAATGTTGGGTTTGAATGGCTAACGCATTGTCAGCTGTGTTCCCACTGTTAAGATAAGTGGTCAATTCATGTCTAAGTGACATCTAGGACATTCCTGTGGGATGAATTTATAGTTTTTCACAGTCTGAAGGGCCTTCTCAATATATTCCTTTGGGCAGTCCACTTGGGTTTGACAAGTGTTCCTTGTTCCCCTCTTCATTTGAAATTGCATAGGGACAACACATTTCTCTCAGTTAAAGTATAAGTTCAACTTTGGGAACATGTTTCATATTCCACCCGTTTTTAGGGTTGAACATGTATATTCCCATAGCTACAGCAGCCCCCCCCCCCCCCGACAGATAGTACGGGGAGACTTCTCCCCATACCATCTGTCAGATTTGAATACAGCGCGGCCATGTGGGGCTCCTCCCACATGGCCGTGTCATTCATTCACAGACTTCCGTGAATGAATGAACTGCAAGTTCCGGCAGCCTTAGCGGCTGTGGGCTTGTAGTTTTCAATGAACTACCACGGAGCTGTGGAGCTTCCTGTCAGAATATCTGCTTAATCGTACATCCCGTATGACAAGCAGATATTCTGACAGGTCTGCAGGAGACCTGCATGGCATCAGCAATTTACTGATCGCTGGTGCAATGCTTTCTAGGTTCCTGCAGACAAAAATAATAAATGCACATTTTTTTAAACCTGCAAACATTTGTTATTTATTTATTTCAGGTACTTATATAGCTCCGTCAATTTACGAAGCACTTTACATACATGTATTGTACATTCACATCAGTCCCTAACCCTCAAGGGGTGTACAATCTAAGGTCCCTAACTTACATTCACACACATACACATACTAGAGCAAATTTAGACAGGAGCAAATTAACATACCAGCATGTCTTTGGAGTGTGGGAGGAAACCGGAGCACCCGGGAAAAAACCCACTCTGATCAGGGGTGGACTGACAACTCATGGGGCCCCCGGCAATAGGGGATCATGGGGCCCCTGTTTCCTTGCCCACACTCAAAAAAAGCCTATAAAAAGGTACCAGGGGCATTTCATGGGGCCCCCTACTGACCCCGGGCCCTCGGGCAGTGCCCAAGTGCTCGAATGGACAGTCTGCCCCTGACGCTGATACAGGGAGAACATTCAAACTCCAGGCAGGTGGTGCCGTGGTTGGGGTTCGAACCAGCGACCCTAGTACTGCCAGGTGGAAGTGCTAACCATTAAGCCACTGTGCTGCCCATAAAAAATGTGCATTTATTATTTTTGTCCAACTAATCCTTTAAAGCTGAATTTTGTTTTTTTAATTTTTTTATTTGCATAGATACATTGGTAAAACTTGGACCAATGAAGTATGCATATTCCATGCAATCACTGTGGTAGCAAAGAATCACTGTAGTAGCCGCTGTTACTAGAGTGATGTTTGCTGTCTTCCGGATCGTTTGCCAAGCATCTGCACTGCTGAATAGTAGCCAATAAGGGGTCACTTGCTTGGCACAGGAGACAGTTAGAGAACGCCTTGCATTTTCTCAATGTATACAAAGCATTTCTGATTTGATGACGTGAAGAGGCGGAGGGGTTATGTCACAATTTGCACCTCCTACAATCAGAATGATTTGCATTCATTAAGAAGAATGCAAGACTTTCTCAGAATGGTGCCCATACCGAACAGGCAACCACTGTGGTTAATATGTAACAGGACAGCTATTTGGATTGCAATTTGGAAGACAGCAAGGATCACTTTAGTAGTGGCAGCTAATACAGTGATTTTCCACTTCTTCAGGGATAGGGCCAGGTATGGAATACACATACATATGTAGGTCCAGCTGGACCAAGGGAACTATGCAAAAAAAATCTTAGAATTCAGCTTTAATAATTGGGCTCCACTGAAAAAGACATGTATGCCTAAATGTTTAGAATTTATATCTTCTCACCTTGTTTGTTTTTTTCCCCTTCAGAGTGAAGATGCAGTACCCCAATCTTTCCACTAGATGGCATCCATGTTATAGCTGGGTTTAGCTTTGCTGTGAAAGTCTGCGCACAATAAACTCCTGCATGAATCCCTGATCTGCCTCTTTTCTTATTGGTAGACAACTTATAATGAGCACATTACTCTTACTTCATTTTACGTACAAAGTAAATGGTTTCAGTGAGACAGTGGAAAACATCTACATTTGTTCCACTGCTGCTGGCTGGCAGAATTTTCGTGTTTGGAACTTGATGTTACCAGGGTTTGGAAAAACTGCATCATATCCCATATTCAGAAACTCTTGGGTTAGAGAGGCCAGCAGTGTGGCCAGATGCAGTTTGCCCCCAGGTAACTGTCTGAGGCAGAGTGCTCCAAGGGTACATCCCAGCCAGTAAGCTGAGATGGGGACAAGAACAGAAGTTTTTTACTTTCTTTATAAAGGCCAGTTCACACCACGTGCAGTGCTTTTTTCTGCATCAAAAAAGCATGGAAAGTAGGTTAAATTGGTTCCAATGGCATAGTCTGCAGGCTGGCAGGATTTCTGTGTTTGGAACTTGAGGTTACCAGGGTTTGGAAAAACTGCATCATATCCCATATTCAGAAACCCATGGGTTAGAGAGGCCAGCAGTGTGGCCCAGATGCAGTTGGCCCCCAGGTAACTGGCTGAGGCAGAGTGCTCCAAGGGTACATCCCAGCCAGTAAGTAGAGATGGGGACAAGAACAGAAGTTTTTCACTTTCTTTATAAGGGCCAGTTCACACCACGTGCAGTGTTTTTTTTTCTGCATCAAAAAAGCATGGAAAGTAGGTTAAGTTGGTTCCAATGGCATAGTCCGTTCCAGTGCTTTTCAGTTCCAGAAAAAAAAAAAAAAAAAAAAAACACACAAAATTCTGCTTTTTTCTTGCACAGAACTGTACTGGAATGCAGTACAAAGCATCAAAAACTCATCCCAGTACAGTTGAAAAAAAAAGTGTCTGGAATGCATTCAGAAATGCATAAAAATGTGTTAAAAAAAAGTGCATGCAGAATCGTATCTGGAGGGCTTTTTTTGTGGTGTGAACTGGCAATAAAAGATTAATAGTTCTGAAAAAAAAAAAAACCCAGATGATTCTAAAAATAATAATCCATTTGGACAATCAACATCCTTTACAAATACATCCACCAATATTCCTACTCCGGTGTAAGAACTGAGATATGTGACCCATAGGTAGCTTTACAATTCTATTGGTATATTTTAGCTGCCATGTTTTAGGCTATAGGAGGGGGTGACACGTAAAATATATGATATATATCTCTTACAGTTAAATTGGATTAACGCTTCCTTTATATTTATCACATGTTCTCATTCACATAACATAATATATATGTAAACATTTCTGGCAGACCTCTTTATCAGTTGTAAACCAGATTGGCACATTGATTTTTGAAACAAAGGATTATAGATCTAGAAACTGGGCTTTTCCTTTGTATGTCAATAAGGAGAAACTCAATCTGTCCCCACTTTGCAAGTGCAGACAGAGTTTTCTTGTATTTTAAAATTGTTCTGCCTGATGCCTACTCCAAACAAACACCTAAAAAAAAAAAAAAAGGCATAATAAATCCTGCTCCTGTTTGATGAGGCAACT